GGGGTGAGTTTTGCAAAGGACCTATCCAAGTTGGCTCGCCGCGCGTCACGTGTTTAACGTTGTGGGATCTGATAGTGAGGTGCTGGCCGGACGCCTTATATAGCTTCCTTGGATGCTTCACTTTCATAGTTCCTTGATAATGTGAGTAGTCACGAAAGAGCTTGGAATTTCTCTATTCTTTCAGAGTGGTTGTTTTGCATATTTTGAAATCACCTGTTTACTGTGATCTTATTGCATATATATATATACATATATATATATATATATATATATATATATATATATATATATATATATATATATATATTATATATATATATATATATATATATATGCAATAAGATCACAGTAAACAGGTGATTTCAGAATATAATGTGGGTAGTCACGCTTTCGTGACTACTCACATTGTCAAGGAACAATGTTCCTTGATAACGTGAGTAGTCACGAAAGCGCCTGGAATTTCTCTATTCTTTCACAGGGGTTCTTTTGCATATATATATATATATATATATATATATATATTATATATATATATATATATATTATATATATATATATATATATATATATATATATATATATATATATATATAAATGTTTATGCAATAAGATCACAGTAAACAGGTGATTTCAGAATATGCAAAAGAACCTCTGTGAAAGAATAGAAATTCCAAGCGCTTTCGTGACTACTCACATTATCAAGGAACAATAAAAGTAATGCATCAAAGGAAGGCATATAAAAGGTCTAGACCACACCTCACTATCACATCCCACAATAAAGCAACACCTGACTCGCGACTCATAAGAAAGAGAACGCTGCAGCAGGCCCACTGGCCCAACAAGACAGGTCCTTCACACAACCCACGAACAAACTATTCTACCCAAGAATTAAGAATTTTAAAATTTATTATTTGTCTAATGTATTATTAAATTCTTACCAAATTCTATTAATTATAAATGGATCTAATTTATATAAACTGAAGGAAATATTCATATTATTATCAAAACTGCTTTTTTATGAAACAAGATTCAATTATATTTCTGTCTACCATTGTCTTGCTTGATACAACTTTCTCAACTTTTTGAAAATCAATTGAATGGTTAAAACCTCTCACTTGAATAAATAGAGCTTTGGAATCTTGTCCAGTTCTAATGCTATATTTATGTTGTTTTAATCTTAGTTCGAGACTTTTACCAGTTTGACCGTAATAAATTTTATCGCAAATTTTACAAGGGATCTTATAGACACATCCATCAGCATTTTGGGGGGAATTCTTTATCAAAAATTTTTTTACTGTATCAAGATTTTTAAATACAACTTTGATATTGAAAGTGTCAAGAAGAGAAGGCATATCAACCAAGTTTTCATGGTAAGGGAGAACCAACATATTTTTAGTTGAATAAGGCTGGTTGTCCCTTTTTGGATTGTAAAAAGTATTTCTAGCAATTTTAAAAGATTTATCAGTTACGTTTCTTGGGTATTTCAGATCATTAGATATTTCATAAATTTTGGATATTTCCTCATCTATGAACTCTGGACTACAAATACGTAAAGCTCTCAAAAGCATTGATGAGAAAACAGACAGTTTGACTCTATCTTGATGTGAAGAATGATAGTGTACATAAGAACAGTTATTCGTAGGTTTTCTGTAAATTTTAAATTTGAATTCATTATTAGCCTTAATAATTAAAACATCTAGAAAAGGCAATGAGTTATTTTCTTCAAACTCAACAGTGAAGTTTATAGAATGGGCTAAGCTATTTAATTTGCCAAGGAAATGGTGTATATCTACATTCTTGGGCATAAGACACAAAATATCATCAACATCTCTGAACCATTTAGCTCTATTAGGGAGGATTGTGTTAAGCAACCTTGTTTCAAAAAATTCCATGTATAGGTTACTAAGAACAAGTGAAAGAGGATTTCCCATTGCCATACCAAACTTCTGAGTGTAAAACTTATCATTAAATACAAATTTTGCATCAACAATGCAAAGTTTAATAAGTTTAATGATAGGAACTGGCAATGGTAAATCATAATTAACGAGTTCCTCAGTAAATCATCAACAGAAACTTTCGTAAACAAGGAAGTAACATCAAAACTAACCATGTTAAAATCATTTAAGTCAGTCAAGGAGCATAATTTATCAACTAAATTTATGTTGTTCTTAACAATAAAGTTAGAAATTTTGCCGGCAATAGGGCTCAAAATGCCTACAAGCCATCTGGATAATTTATATGAAACTTATCCTGATTGGATTACCTGGTTTGTTTGTTTTTATTAATCTATACCTGTAAGGTAAAGATGGATTAGATTGTCTTCTGTCTGGCAATCAAGGAAGTCACAGAAGCACTCTCCAATGAGCTCAATATCTGTTTCTTTGATGATGCTATCCTAGCTGGCACCACAGAATCTCTCCTAGAGGATATCAGAAAAATTAAAGAGATGAGAGAGAGCCTGGGCCTATCTTTGAACCCCACCAAATGTGAAATAGTTTCTACCAATCGACAGATGATCCAGAATATTAGTGCTATTTTATCAGGAGCACGAGCTACTGATCCAGCCAACAGCAGTCCCCTTGGTGCTCCTCCTGGGCCCAATGCCATTGATCTGATCATAGAAAAAAATCTCAGACCTCAGGACGATGGAAGGCAGGATGAAAGACATCGATACGCATGATGCCTTCTACCTATTCAACAAGTGCCTGTCAATCCCAAACTTACCTACTTCCTGAGATGCTCCCCAGCCTTCAGCAGTCCGAAACTCTGGGAATATGATTCTCTCCTTAAGATCATGCTAGAGAGTGTATTGAATCTTTCCCTCGAAGACGGACAATCGTTGCAAGCCTCACTTCCAGTCAGGCTTGGGGGGCTGGGAGTAGGCAAATCATCCCACATTGTCCTACCAGCTTTCCTATCCTCTTCTGTAGCATCAAACGAGTTTTTAAAACAAATTCTTCTGGACCACCTCAGTGACTTAGCAGGAATACAGGACCCAAGCTACATTAGTGCCATCACTAAATGGGAGACTCTTGCTGCTCCATCACCAAGACCTAGTGCAGCACTGGCCTACAGATAGTCAAGTTGGGATGGCCTCATCGCTGAAAATGTGCTTGCCAACATGCTTCGGGCTGTAACATCAGACAAGGAGACTGCCAGTCTCCAAGCTGTGAGTGCACTTCACTCCGGGAACTTCCTCCAAACAGTTCAAATTTCGGCAATGGGAACACGCCTCAACCGTAAGACCCTCCGTATTCTGGTGGCTGTCCGCCTTGCTGCCGCAATTCACATGGAATATATGTATATTTGGGGGTGATGCACAAGCCGAGCAATATGGTCTACATGGTCTTAACTGTTCCAAAACCAAGACACAATAAAGTCAACGACATAAAGAGAACCCTTGCTATAGCTGGATGCCCAGCTGAAAGGGAGCCCCGATCACTAGCAGCCAACAATACCCACAACCCAGCAAACTGCCCCAATGGGATCACCATCTATCCTTGGAAGAATGGCAAGTTCTTAGCATGGGACTACACCTGTGTATCGACGCTAGCTGACACCTACATCCTTCCCAGTGTTGGGCGACAGGAAGGAGTTGCTGATCACAGAGAGGAGTACAAGATCGGTAAGTACAGGGACTTATGCTAACAGTATGTTTCCTTAAAGAACTGGGTTCCAGACTCATCGACACCACCAGGGACCCAAGTGCAGCCACTTTCAAGTTCCAGCCCCTCAGCATGGCCATCCAGAGGGGAAATGCATGCTACATACTGGGCTCGTGTCCAGCTTCGGAGAAGCTGGAGGAGATTCATAATCATCGATATAAAGTGCCAATGTACTTATGTTTGTGTTTTCTGTCAATGTATTCTGTCTATTATTAAAGTTCACATAGAATATAGAATATATGCCGTGGAAGGAGAAGAAAATATTCAAACAGCTCCGGGGAAAACCTCGAGTGTTCCCTTAGTTACGTTTATGTTCTCTGACGATGAGGGTCCCCAGCACAATTCTAGAGGTGTTACCTCCCTATATAATATATATTATATATATATTATATATATATATATATATATATATATATATATATATATATATATATATATATATATATATATATATATATATATATATATATAATGTGTGTGTGTATGTATATATATATATATATATATATATATATATATATATATATATATATATATATATATATATATATATATATAACTGCATTGAAGAACTAGTGGTTTTAAGCAAATAACAATACTGCAACTGGCCGGGAATCGAACCCTGGTATTTTAGCACGTCTTCAACGATGCCTACCAGAATTTTGAAACGTACTGATGGCTAGGTGGACTGAGGCATCTCGGAATTTCAGGACTCACGGGAGATGTACTAAAACATCTGCGGTTCGAATGCAATAATTTTACAAAAATCATTCTGAACTCAGCTAAAAAGTATATTTCATTGTATTTGATTATTATTTAATTACTGTAAACTTATATAAAATATATTTAGTTGGATTATGCTTAATTAAATTGCGCTTCTTATTATAGGTTAGGTAAGTTTCCTAAGGTTCTTTTAGTACAAAATCATTATTGTTTTTATTAACATAATTGAAAAAATATGAGCCACGAAGACAACGAGGCTTACTTAGCTTTTGATAAAACAATATAAATAGCAATGCGAATATATGTGAGCAAAGAATGTCTTTAAATGCATCTACAACGGGGAGGAAAAACTGGACAAACTCTCATGTTGCGAAGAAGCTATCTGAAAAAGATTGCATAAAATATATATTTACAAACAGAAAGAAGAAGAGTGGAAGGAGATTTCACCTGTTGTGCAGTCTCTCTCTCTCTCTCTCTCTCTCTCTCTCTCTCTCTCTCTCTCTCTCTCTTTCCTTCCACCCCTCTCTGTCTTCTTCAAAATCTCATTAAAATTAAATAATTGGGATCAACTTTATTACAAGTATAATTCCTGTGAACACAAGGGAGTCTCACCTGCAGGGTTTGGTGCCTGAGAGACGGTCTCCATGACTGTGTGTGGCTCAGTCAAACTGAGTTTACTCAAATAATACTGAGTTTTCTTCCCACAGAGTTCTCGTCTTCTCTCTCATATGTTGCGCAAGAGATTCCGTATTTTGAGATTATAGTGGCTCTCCTAGAACGTAGGACTATCTTACTCACTGCGGTGGAGCCACGTCAACAAGATACGCTGATACGCTTTAAGGTATGCCGCCTGCCTTTTGCTGTCTCTTCGCCTTTGTGTTAACAGCGGTCGCTTGGCTAAGTGCTCCTAATACTTGGCCCACGCGCTAATAGTGGTCGCTTGGTCCATGTACTAGCAGTCAGTGCTCACTTGGGCCGTGCACTAATAATCAACGATCTCTTCAGTTGTTCCCTATCAATGGTAGGTTTTCCGTGCGTTAGTACCAAAGTAATTATAGTGTTGTGGTTGAGTCTAGGTGCCACATTCACTTTTCCAATTTTTTTTTATTTAGTTATCTTTGCGTTCAACAGTGCAGACATTCACTTCTCTTGCAGTCACTGTTGTGAAGGCCCCTTTGGTGACTCAGAATATTGTCTCGTGCTCTTTGTTTCTAAGCTGGACGTTGTCACTGTACTCATTTCACTGTCTTTTAGAGCCCATATGAATGCACTTGTCTCTGTTGGTTACCTGAAATAAACAAAAAAGTTTAGTAGTATCATATTATTAAATGATCACTTATAAAACGGACAAGTTGAAGAATTAGACACTTGTGCAACACTTGGGTTACTTTTCTCCTGCACTACAGGCTTCTTCAGTCGAATACAGGAGAATGTAACATAGGAGGCAATAAAATAAATCGTTTTGGCATAATCAGTCCGTCAGTCATGGTAGGAAGTGGTCATGGTAGGAAGTGAGGTGAAGTAGCTGGAGGTGACGTTATAAGTGAGCGTGGCCTACTAGTGGAAGTGCGTCATGCTAAGCAACTGTTTAGCACAGGAGTGTCAGAAAACTTCCAGTGCACCAAGATACCATTGTGTTGTTGTGTCACACAGGTATCTTATAATTGATGGCACACAATACCTACAAGTTGTTGAATAAAATACATATGCAACACTTGGGTATCTTTAGTGTCGGAACATCTAGCCTGAACAACAGGCTTCTCCAGTTGAATACAGGAGAATATAACACTGGAACGTTTCGGAACCTCACCTCCAGCTGCTGCTTCTCGATGAACTGACAACCTCCTACAACGGCTGAGGGACTGATCATGTCAAAAGTACTTGTATTCCCTCCATCGTTATTTTCTCCTGTATTCGATGAAGAATCACACTAAGTAGGTGGAACATTGCACATGCGTTTTATTCTTCGACTTGTCGGCATTGTGCTGCTTATTATCAATAACATAATACCTGTCTAACACAGAAACACCCTGATACTTGTCAAGAAAAGTC